TTGCTCCGATTGGTCTGGGCCCAGGGCTGTGACTGAACTTGGATAAACACAGTAGTTCCACAGTGGGTGGCCTTCCAGATGTTGTGTCCTGTGTTTGGAGACGAATTGCTGTTCATTTACTCTTGCATTCTGAACCAGTATCTGGGAAACCAAATGCTAATTGTGGCTAGGAGCACAGCTATTTTAAAATTGCCGTGTGATTCTGGGGAGAGGGAACTCACTAACCCGCTGTCAAGAGTTCTGTCTAATGACCTTCCCTGAGCACTAGCTGTGCTGTCATTGTGAGCTGGGGAGGCCGGGGTGCGAGTATATGAGAGTAACAGTGACCCTAAAGACAATCTACCACCGAGGAGATGGAAGACAGAAACCCTACATTTTGCATCCTCAGTGAAAACTGCTTCTGCTGCTGGTGAGAAGCGTAACTCTCTCAGGTTGAAGACCCACACGTGACAAAAACTGGTGACCTGAGCTGGTCTGAGGCTGCTACAACACTCCTGTTCCAGTAGGGGCCACATCTCACTCAGCTGCTGGTTTGCTCTTCTGTTTGCGTGCTTTGTATTTTGTTTAAAGTGGGCTTGCTGATTAAGTGGGGGATTTAGTCGGGTTGTGAGTGTGCATTGGATGGGAGCGTGCAGCTCTTTGGACTGCTGCTTCCTTCACCTTCCCACACTGTTGTCTCGCGGAAGCATAGTTCCTGTTGGGCTACATTACCCAGATGACGAAAGTGCTTTATTTTGTGGTCACAGTGTTGGAAACATTTGTGGCACATTGACATTTTGTTGAATACAAGTTAAATATTAAAGAAATTGTGCAATGCTATAAATTACACTTGGCATGTATTTTTTTTAATGGGATGGTGTGATGTGTGGGCCAAACTTAATTGATTTTTGCTGCATTCACATGTCAAGTTAGATTCAACTCCACAACATAATTTACTGGGAATACTTTGTACATGACAACACAATACTGCATGTACCCATTTGTTCAGCTCCCAGCCACAGTTGAATAACCTGGCTGTAGATACCGTCTCGATTTGAATCCAGCCTCCCCTGCATCAGGTTGATTCAATGGGAATATACTAGAAGAACAATTCAAAAAGAAAACCTTGCCCAATTTGGAGAACTGGGCGTGGTTCTAGTCTCCATATTGCAGAATGGATGTAGAATCACTGAGGAAAGTACAATTAGCTACTGCCCACAAAAAAACCATAGACATCTGTCTCCATTAGTGAGAGACAAATGATTATGATGGGTACTACACCTCGAGCAAGGTCTAGATGATAAGAAATAGGAATAGGTTGCTCAGCCCAATGAGCCAGCTCTGTCATTCAATAAAATTGTTTGTTTTTAATTTATTCACGGGATGTGGGTGTTGTTGGCTGGGCCATCATTTATTGCCTGTCCAAATTGTTAAGACTCAGCCACATTGGGTCTGGAGTCACATGTAGGCCAGACCAGGTAAAGATGGCAGTTTCCTTGGCCTAAAGAGCATTAGGGAACCAGTTTGATCTGATTAACTCTGCTTTCCTGCACCCTATTCCCATACTTCTAGATCCGATATATCGTATTCAACTTCAAATGTTTTCAATATATGTTTTAATATTATTTGAGTAGGTTATGAAGTATTCAATAAGGCTGACCCTCACAGCTCTTACAAGGATATGACTGGCACCATTGGTGTCATAGAGTCCCTACAGTGTGGAAACAGGCCATTCGGTCCAACAAGTCCACACCACCCTTTCCACCTAACTTACACCATCCCCGAACACTATGAGCAATTTAGCATGGCCAATCCACCCTGCACATCTTTGGACTGTGGGAGGAAACTGGAGCACCCGGCAGAAACCCACACACACGGAGAATGTGCAAACTCCACACAGTCGCCCGAGGGTGGAATCGAACCCATGTCCCTGGCGCTGTGAGGCAGCAGTGCTAACCACTGAGCCACCGTGCTGCCCCATTCTGAATCATATGTAGCCACCTGAACTAACCAATAATAAACCATAACTTGATGAATGCAAAGATCTCAGTGGGTTACAAGGCTCGAGGTTGTTGCAGAGATCAGGAAGGTTGAGTCACTTCTTGGTCAATCAGTATGTTTGTAATGCAGTGCAGTTATGCACAAACACTACTGAATTGAGCACTTGCCTTTAGCCATGATGAAGGCAAGCAGTGATCTGAGCAGCTAACTTAGCATGTACCAGGAATCAAACCTGAAATCCTTCTGCATTAACTAACAGGTGTGGTGTCTTTGCTGGGAGGAAACCTGCTTTTATTTAGGCTGTGCATGACTCACTGACTTCTTGAAGATAAGTACAAAGAAATATGACTTGCTAAAATTATGGGGTTTCATTCATGATTTCACAGTAAGGTGAGAATGCCTGTTTATAACTCAGGTTGTTAGCACAATTGTCTGAGTATTGAGTCAGAAAGGACAAGGGATTCTTTCATGCCTACAGAATATTTTGTTATATTTGTGCTGATTTGAATTTAAATGCAGTAATACTTGCAGTACAAGTTTTAAAATGTAAATTTTGCACATTTGAGCAATGTCAGTATAACTACGACTTTTTGTCCTTTTTAAATGGTTAGATCAAATGTATCTTCAGAAGGAAATCGTAGCGTTAATGTCACTGGATTAGTCATGCAGATGTCCAGACTAATGCTGTGAGGACACAGGTTCTTATCCTGCCAGGGCAGCTGGTGGTTTAGTGTCTAATCCAGAGTTACATACATTGAGGTTCTCTGAGTCATTGCTCAGAATTAAAAAAAAGAATCTCAAAGAGGAAGCCTTTAGGCCTGTCATGTCTATACTGGATCTTTGAAAGAACTGTACAAAGTAATTCCACATCCCAGTCTATTTTCAACATTTTCTGTTTAAGTGCACATCCTGCTGTCTTGCAAATCCCGATGGAATCTGTCTCCATCCCCAAAAAAGGAAATCTCTGCAACCTTCCAGAGAGTTGAGCACAATTTAGTTTGACAGTCCCTGCAGTTGAGGAAACGATGCAATTTTTTTTGTATGTGACATTAAACTAAGGACCCGTCAGACCCCTTGGCTGGGCATAGTCTCCAAACTAGAATTTTGAAGATGATTAGGACTGTTCTCCTTGCTTAGCTAAGTTACAGAATACCCTTAGTGTGGAAAGAGGCCATTCGGCCCATCACATCTACAATGACCCTCAGAGCATCCCACCCAGAACTAGCCCCCTGACTCTATGCCCGTAACCCCGCAGTTACCATGGCTAACCCATTTCGCCTGCACATCCCTGGACACTATGGGAAATTTAGCATAGCCAGTCCACCTATCCTGCATGTCTTTGGACTGTGGGAGGAAACCAGAGCATCCAAAGGAAACCCACACAGAGATGGGGAGAATGTGCAGACTCTACACAGATGCCTGAAGCTGGCATCGTACCTGTGTCCCAAACGCTGTGATTCAGCAGTGCTAACCACTGTGTAACCACGCTGCCCTCAAGTCTTCAAGATATTAACAGGAAAAGCCAGGGTAGAAATAAACTAATTCCACTGATTGGGGCTTCTAGAACTAGGGGTATAGTCTGAGAATTAGGGCCAGACCATTCAGGAGAGATGTTATGAAATTGTTCTACAAAGGATAATAGAGGTTTGCAACTCTTCCACAATGGCAGTCGATGCTGGATTAGGGTGTGGAATTGTTCTCCCAGACAGAAGCAGGCTGTTCTCTGCAGTTTAAGAAAAAACTGTATTTAAATTTAAAGAAACCTTTCTTGCAGCTATGAGCTGTAACTTTTGAATTGATAAATCAGACACTACTCTCTGTACCACAGCTGATATTACAGTCAGCATATAACATACGAGTCAATTACTCTGTGCATCTTAAAACTAGTGGATACTTCCAGGGAAAGACTACTGAGCACCAAGGCTTTGGCTAGTCAAAGATTGATCATCACAACATCGGAATCGAGAAGCAAAGATACTGAACTAACTTTCCAGTTTCTTTTTTCTACCTCCCACTAATAATGTATTTTCCTAATTTGCCGTGTGTGTGTTATGTTATTAGGGGACTTTAATAAGGGGATTACAGATTGTATTCAGTGTTTCTTTGCAAGTTGTCCATATCTCCTACTTGTAGCTGTAGTCTAATTACTGATAGTAAGTAATTCTTGCTTAGTACCGAAACCCGGTCTGATTTCTGTCAATCTTGGTCTCAAAATCAGGTACATTGGAGTGCTGTGCATATCTTAAAAGAATATTTTAACATTTGGTACGATTCTCAGAATAGAGAGGCTTGGTTTATGGTGTGTCACCCCAGCGGGTACTGCGTGGTTGAGTTAATGCCCTTGGGCAACTAGTGATGGCTAATAAATAGAACTATACCACTTTTGCTTCATTCATAAGAATCCTTACTCTTCATACAGGAGTCGCAGGGAGAAACATTTTTGAAGGATCTGAATGTTCTGTATGTAGCGCTCGGTTCGCAACAAATGACTGCACCTCCCAGTCGCGAACCATTTCGACTCCCCCTCCCACTCCTTGGACGACACGTCCATCCTGGGCCTCCTGCAGTGCCACACCGATGCCACCCGAAGGTTGCAGGAACAGCACCTCATATTTCGCTTGGGAACCCTGCTGCCCAATGGTATCGATGTGGACTTCACAAGCTTCAAAATCTCCCCTCCCCCTACCGCATCCCAAAACCAGCCCAGCTCGTCCCCGCCTCCCTAACCTGTCCATCCACTCCTTCCACCTCAAGCCCCACCCCCACCCCCACCTCCTACCTACCAGCCTCATCCCGCCTCCTTGACCTGTCCGTCCTCCCTGGACTGACCTATCCCCACCCTAACTCCCCACCTACACTCACTTTTACTGGCTCCATCCCTGCCTCTTTGACCTGTCTGTCTCCTCTCCACCTATCTGCTCCTTTATCCATCTTCTATCCACCTCCCCCTCTCTCTATTTATTTCAGAATCCCCTTCCCTTCCCCTGTTTCTGAAGAAGGGTCCGGACCTGAAACGTCAGTCTTCCTGCACCTCTGATGCTGCTTGGCCTGCTGTGTTCATCCAGCTGTACACCTTGTTATCTCTATGTTCATACAGGACTTGTTTTCTGACTTTAACACAAGTCTGGTCACAGCACACTCAGCCACAAGCTGATGGCCAACAGTTTGAGCTCTACTGCCAAAATGTGAAACCAAGACAGACTTGCATTGATATTGTGCCTTTTGCAACCATAAAATATGTCTTACCACCTATGAATTTCTTTCAAAGTGCATGTATTCAGATTTGCTGTGTAGGAAAGGTGACAATGAAGTTGCTCATGGCAAGCTCTCAAAAATGACAGATAAATGGCCAGATAATCTGCTTTTCCTTTGTGCTTTTGGTTTAGGGATAAAGGTTAGCCAGGACACTACAGATAACTCCCACAGTACTCTTGTAAATAGGGACCACAGGAGAGAGAGTTTTGACATCTACTTGAGTGGGCAGATGTGCCCTTCAGTTAGGTATCTCATCTGAAAGATGGCACCTCCAACAAGGCTGCACTTATTCAGTTCTGTACTGAGTGTCAACCTTGGAATTTGTGTTCAAGTTCTGGTGTGGGACTTGAACCTCTAACTTTGTGACACAAAGGTGAGAGTGCCACTTCCTGTACCCAGCTAACATTATTGCCAGCATTTAACATTGACTGATATTTAAGCTCATTGTCAAGGCAGTGTTGCACTGCCAAAGTGACCACCCTTAGTGTACGATATTAAACCAAAATTTGTTGAAATGTATGATGCTGGAAACTGAAGTAAATTTGTCCCACGCCCACTTTGCAGGAACTGGTAGGTTTTGTCATATAGTACTGTTGTTTGATAAGCACACTGATTAGTACGTATGGTTATAGAGAGTCAGCTGTTTTGTGATGCAGAGTGATGCCAACAGCACAGGTCACCACGGAAGTCCCACCCTCTTCAACCTTGCCCCTTGCCTGAGCCGCTAGTCTTGTCTGTATCTAATGAGAGAACAGCTGTGATCTTTGGGGGTGATGGCAACTTTGCACATGGGTTGTTCACACAAATAGCATTCCATGAAGTTTCCAGACTTGTTTTTACGAGTTGTATTCATACAGTAAATATTACCTCATAGCCACGAATAGAAATATGATTTCATCATGGCTGTTTTGAATAGGTTAGTTGGATTTAATCACAGTATCAGCTTCCTAAGAGCAGTTCCTTTTATGTAAATAATACTGGGATTTGCCCATCATTAATTATCCATTCAAGGTTTAAAAAAAAACAACCCAGAAATTTGAGAGCTAAGTGAGCTGTAACAGTGCAAGAATTCATTGGAACTAATACATTGGCTTAGCCCATGCAATGATAGATGTAACTGGATAATGTGTCATATCCTGTCTTTTAAATTAGAGTTACCTTTTAATGGATGGTTTCATAAGCCAATTTTGTAATGCCTTAAAGGAATGAAAGTTGTAACTGCATGGTGAAGGTACAATACATTGATGAATTGCAAAACCTCTGAACTGTTTGTAATTAACCTGAAGGGGAGCCAAGTTTCTTTATCCAGGTGAATCAGGAATGAAGGGTCTCGACCCGAAATATCGACTGTTCCTCTGTTGCTGTCTGACTTGTTGTACTCCTCCACCTCCACATTTTATTGACTCTGCAGTCCTTGCTATCTCCTGATGCATGTGTAGAATGTGTAAGAGACTACATTTTAAAAAAATTTTTGGACTGAGGACTGAAAATGAGAAAATGGACACTGCGTTCAAAAGGGGAGAATGTACAAGGAATTGTTGGGAACCTGGAAAAACAAGTGAAGCTAACTGATGCATGAAAGACAATTTTACCTGTTGGGGAGATCGGGTTGAAACAAGCATGCACTATTTATTCTGGGTTCAGGAGAGCTCAGCATTTGAACAACCTGCTGATGGATCCAGCTGCAACTTAACATATACCCTGTGAGTGAAATACCAGGAGGAAGGAAGGAAGGAAACTCAAGTGGGCTGCATTAAAATATCTCTCTCTGTCTCCTTTCTCTGGAAAGTTGCTCTCTGTCCAATTTTCTGTCAAAAAAGCAGGAACACCTCATTGAGATGCTGAAAAGAATAATTCTAAAGCCAAAGGAACAAGAAAGACCAAGATCCAACCAATCAACCAGTGAATTAAACTCTGACTGCTGTACAGTTAACATTGTGGTATCAATGAGGAATGAAAAGGATTGTGAAAGCAACCCATCTAGTTTTGTGAGTTAAATGGTGATACAGAATTGTGTTTCACCGACCTGTTTATTTTGCACTCAATATTTGTCTTGTTTGTTTCTCTTTTGTGTGTGTGGAAGTTTATAAGGGATAAGGGTTTAAGTTGTATAGCCATAAATGAGCAAATCACTTTTTCTCCTTTATTGTCGTTAATCAGGGAAGTTAGTTCAGTTACAATAAATGGCCACATCCCGAAAATGAATATTAAAATAGGGAATTTAAAAAGAGATAGTAGGAACTGCAGATGCTGGAGAATCCGAGACAACAAGGTGCAGGGCTGGATGAACACAGCAGGCCAAGCAGCATCATAGGAGCAGAGAGGCTGACATTTCGGGCCTAGACCCTTCATCAGAAAAGGGGGAGGGGAAGGGGGTTTTGAAATAAATAGGGAGAGAGTGGGAGGCGGATAGAGGAGAGGATAGGTGGAGAGGAAACAAACAGGTCGAAGAGGCGGGGATGGAGCCAGTAAAGGTGAGTGTAGGTAGGGAGTTAGGAAGGGGATAGGTCAGTCCAGGGAGGACGGACAGGTCAAGGGGGCGGGATGAGGTTGGTCGGTAGGAGATGGAGGTGCGGCTTGAAGTGGGAGGAGGGGATAGGTGGGAGGAAGAACAGGTTAGGGAGGCAGGGACGAGCTGGACTGGTTTTGGGATGCGGTAGGGGGAGGGGAGATTTTGAAACTTGTGAAATCCACATTGATACCATTGGGCTGCAGGGTTCCCAAGCGGAATATGAGTTGCTGTTCCTGCAACCTTCGGGTGGCATCGTTGTGGCACTGCAGGAGGCCCAGGATGGACATGTCGTCTGAGGAATGGGAGGGGGAGTTGAAATGGTTCGCGACTGGGAGGTGCAGTTGTTTATTGCGAACCGAGCGTAGGTGTTCTGCAAAGCGGTCCCCGAGCTTCGGCTTGGTTTCCCCGATGTAGAGGAAGCCACACCGGGTACAGCGGATGCAGTATACCACATTGGCAGATGTGCAGGTGAACATCTGCTTGATGTGGAAAGTCTTCTTGGGGCCTGGGATGGGGGTGAGGGAGGAGGTATGGGGGCAGGTGTAGCACTTCCTGCGGTTGCAGGGATTGGAGCGGAGGGCTGCACGTTCTGCAGGGGAGAGGTTGGAGTGGGTGAGAGGGGTGGAGAGGTTGAGGCGATTGATGTCTCGACGGCAGTTGGAGATGAAGAGGTCGAGGGAGGGTAGGAGGCCTTGGGGTGGTGTCCAGGAGGAGGGGGTGTGTTGGAAGCGGGAGAAGGGGTCAGTAGAGGGAGGGTTAGGTTCACGGTTAAAGAAGTAAGCCGTGGAGGCGGAGGCAGCGGAAAAACTGCTCTATGTCCAAGCGTGAGCGGTATTCGTTGATCTGTGGGTGGAGGGGGACCAAGGTGAGCCCTTTACTGAGGACTGACCGTTCGTCCTCAGTAAGGGGTAGGTCTGGGGGGATGGTGAAGACTCGGCAGGGCTGGGAGCTGCTGGCTGTGGAGGCTGTGGGCGGAGTTGAGTCGGCGTTGGCTGTGGGCGGACTTGAGTCGGCGTTGGCTGTGGGCGGAGTTGAGTCGGCGGTGGGTGGAGTTGCGTCCGCGTCGGTGATACGCGGAGTGGCGTCGGAGGTAGGAGGAGCGGGGTAGGCGGTGGCAGGAGTGGTGAGTTAGGAAGTTGAAAAGCAGGACCTCGAGGGATTACTCCCTGTGCCATGCGCTAGTAAAGCCAGAAATAAGATAACAGTTAAATTTGTGGCTAAAGAGCTGGTGTAGGAGGGAGGGCTTCAGATATCTGGATCATTGGGATCTCTTCTAGGGAAGATGGAACTTGTATGAGAAGTACATGTTGCACCTAAACTGGAGGGGTGCCAATATCCTGGCACGGAGGTTTGCTCGACCCCTTCAGGAGTGGGTGGGGTTTAAACTAGTGTGGTGGGGACAGGACCCAGAGCAGTAGGTCAGCATGTGGAGTGTTGAATAGAAAAGAGTAACTAAATCAAGTAAGTCTAGTAGGAAGAACAGTCAGTGTCAGGTTAATGAACACAGCAGGACTAGCAGTCTGAAGTGTATTTATTTTAATGCAAGGAGTATAACAGATAAAGCAAATGAGCTTAGAGCTTGGATTAATGCGTAGGACTACGATGTGGCAGCTATTACAGAAACTTGGCTAAGAGAAGCGCAGGACTGGCAGCCCAACATTCTGTGGTTTGGATATTTCAAGCAAGATAGAGATGTAATAGAGGTGAGAGAGTTGCATTACTAATTGAGGAGAGTGTCACAATTGCACTAACAAAGGTCATCTTGGAGGGGTCATCCAAGGAGGCTATATTGGTACAACTCTGGAATAAGAAAGGTACAATCACGATGGTAGGGTTATACTATTGACCTCCCAATAGCCAGCGGGAATTAGAGGAACACGTGTTAGCAGATCATGGAAAGATGTAATAGCAACAGGTTTGTTGTAGTGAGTGATTTTAATTTCCTCAATATTGACTGGGATCCCCTTAGTCTTAGAGGCTATGTACTCTTCCACTGTTAAAGGTCAGTTTGTTTATTGTTTATTCTTGTTTGTTGCTGAAACCTGGTAAATTTCTTTTGTCTTGTACTGCAGTCGATATCAGGCAAATTCACCATTTTTGTAATTCAGTTGGGCATTTTTACATCTGTGACAGCTCCTGGAATAGTAGGACTTAACTACCAGTGCAGTGTTTCTGACAGGATAGTGATACGACCAGCTCGGGCAATGAATCTTGGCTTAGCTAGCAACACTCGCATCCTATTGATGAATTAATACAAAAGCAAATGGCAAATGCTGTCTTTTCTGATCCTTAAAGACTACCTCCAGCAGATTGCTGGATTGTGGCTTCGTTCTGACATTTACACACCTATAAAGATTAAAAAAAAAACTTGAAGGCAGTGAACGTCCCCTTTAATTTTCTGATAAATGCTAACCAGCCGACTGGGCGTTCTAGTTTAGGATTTATTCATCAGTGAACCAACAGTGTTCAAAGCAGAAAAGACAAGCGCAATTAAAATTGAGCTTTGTGTATGTCGACCTGTAAGGTACTTATCAATGCACAACCACAAAGTATGGGTGTGGTTTTGTTTTGGATGTTGAAAGATACAATAATTGTCTTTCAGTTGATAAATGCTTGCATTTACAGAGCACCTGTCAGAGCCAGTGCAATACTTTATTGAAATGTATTCCTGGTTATAATAGCATGTACACAGGAGGAACCCACAAGCAGCAATGTAAAAATGAGCTGCTAAGTTGTGTTAATGAATGTTGTTTGAGGGATAAATATTGGCCAGGAAGTTCCAGGATGGGAAAAGACCACTGTGTTTGCCCTGTACTCTAGTATGTTGCCTCAAACACGCAGCCAGATGTTGAAGCTGTAAAATATTCAAACTGAGATCAGTACATTACCAGCCAATTAATTTCAAAATTCTGAAAACTAATAGTATGTTAGCAGACTGATGGCAGTTTAGGAAAAAGTGAGGTGCAACGAGACCTGGGTGTCATGGTGGAACAGTCGCTGAAGGTTGGCATGTAGGTGCAGCAGGCAGTGAGGAAAGCTAATGGCATGCTGGCCTTCATAGCGAGAGGATTTGGGTATTGGAGTAAGGATGTCTTGCTGCAGTTATACAGGGCTTTGGTGAGGCAACACCTTGAGTGTTGTGTGCAGTTTTGATCTCCTAGGCTGAGGAAGGACGTTCTTGCTATTGAGGGAGTCCAAGGAATGTTCACCAGACTGATTCCTGGGATGGCAGGACTGACACATGAGGAAAGACTGGATCGACTGGGCTTGTGCTCGCTGAAATTTAGAAAAATTGGGTGTGGGGTGGGGGGAGGTGTCTCACAGCAACATAAAAAATCCTGATGGGACTGGACAGGCCGGATGCTTAATGTTCCCGATGTTGGGGAAGTCCAGGACTAGGGGTCACAGTCTAAGAATAACGGGTAAGCCATTCAGGACTGAGGTGAGGAAGAATTTTTTTACTCAGAGTTGTGAACCTGTGGAATTCTCTCCCATAGGAAGCTGTTGGGAGCTAGCCCATTAGGTATATTCAAGAGGAAGCTGGACGTAGCCCTTGCAGCTAAAAGGATCATGGGGTATGCAGAGAGGGCAGGAATGGGATACTGGGATTGTATGATTAGCCATGATAGTGTTGAATGGTGGTGCAGGGTTGAAGGACTGAATGACCTACTCCTGCACCTATTTTCCAGATTAGCTTTTGCTACAAAGGGTTTGGAATTCAACAGTAAAGAAGTCTTGTGATTATACATAGCAGAATTGTAGAGATCCACACCTGGACAACTTTGCAGTTCAGTGGTCTTGTCTAAGCAAAGTTATACTTGCTGCAGAGAAAGTGAAACAGAGGTTCACTATACAAGTAGTCCCTGGGTTGCAAGCAGATTTTGTTCTGGTCATAAATTGATTTGTACGCAAGTCAGAACGCAATGCAGGATGATATAATGCAGCTGTTTGTAAATACAGGAAATGTTTTTATGTCGGGTGGGATTCTGTTCATAAGTATGAGCATTCTTAAGTCGGGGACCCCCCTGTACTGACTCCTGGGAAGAAGAGTTTGTACCTTGAAGAGAGATTGAGTAGGGTTAGGGTAATCTAGACCTATGTTCCCTGGAGTTTAGAGGGATGAGAGATGGTTTAATGGAATCATGTAACAATCAAAGTATATTTGGAGCTGAGAAAATGTATCCTAAATAGAAAATTCCAGAGATTCACAACCCTCAATGAAGAGATTTCACCTCATCTCATCTTGGTCCTCAATAACTGATTCTGCATTTTGAGACTACGTCCCAGTGTTCTAGACTTCCCTAGGTAGGGGAAACATTCTCTGTCTACCCTGGTGAGGTGTTTCAATGAAAAAGATAGGATAAAAGTGAATGCCACAGTGTGGGGGTATAGTCTGTGAAGTTCTTGATTGGTAATCTTCCAGAGTTACAGGCAAACACAGTACCTGGTCTAAATCATTAATAGTTGCTTTGTTTC